ACATGATCCCAAACCAGGCCCTGATGCGGTGGGGGCATGCAGGACAACTGTGTTGCTGACAATAACTCGAAGGCATTTTAAAAGGAGTCAGCTACCCAACTTCTGCTCTGCTTCACTGTTAATGTCACCATAACCAGTGATGGCTGTCATATCAGTTATGATTTTCAGGATGAGATCTTAAATAATTCTCTCATTTATAAGGGGAAATGGCCTGCAGCCACCAGGTGTCCTCCTTCTCCATAGTTTGGAGAACCAGCCTGTTGCACTGAAACACACGCTGGATTGCAAATTGGAGATGAAATACTGCTTGTAATTCTGGACCAAAATTAGGGGCTCTGTGCTGTGACGGAGGAGGCAGTGTTTACCACCCCAGTACCCAGGGCTGGAGGTGGGCCGGGGTCCTGAGATGAGAACAACAGCAGTTCAATATTCAGTCACTAGTTATCCCATAGAGTAAGAAAGTCACAAACCGTGTAATCTGCAAAATATTAAAGGTATGCAGATGTAGCAAGCCCGATTCTTCTTCTACCCAAAGACGTGCAGTTTGTTTATGAATCAAGAAGTCTACTATACAGTCTAAAGGTTTTGCTAAGTGGAGAGGGTACAGAACTTTATACATTTCAGCACTTGCAGTCACTTATGAAGGCAGCTCATGAAGCCTTAATCCATGCAAGGATTTTTCTATTTGCAAACACAAAACAAAAGAAAATAAACAAACAAAAAAATAAGCCCACCAGCTTTCTGTGGGTTGTTGAAACATAATTATTTAATTCAAAAGAGAGGGAAAGAAAGAAAACAAAGCAGCAATCTTTCCACAGGGCCTAGCATGCAGATTTTTCCACCCTGTTTGTTCTCTAAGAACAAACTTGTGTTATATATAGGTTCAAATTTCTGTCCTGATGTCTTTTTCCTTTCTGGAATACTCCAGCTCAGGTGAGCTGATCTGAGCCAGATCCAGCAATATCGCAGAGCAAACCTTCTTCAACACATCTTTCTCTCTTTAGAATAGCCTTGTACATTGTTTACCTTCAGCAAAATTAAAATTGGATTTGCTTGAAAAAACTCAGATTAGTTCCAAGCTCCAAGCAACGTTTCTGTTTCCACAACAGCAATGGATATAACACAAATCCTGAGTGCTGCAAGGCTCATGGAGAAATGAAGGAAGGCAGGATGTGTAAGGTGCATGGGGTGCATCACAAAGACCTCTGGCCATGGGATATGCATGTGTAATTTGCCACTTGAGGGCACTGTAGAAGTGAATAATAAATACGGACTTTGAGAATTGTGATGAAAACAGCATTTTGTAGGAGGAAATAATGGAAAAGATATGAAGGAGCCTCAACACATACTGAAATAACGGGAGGTTGAAGAGAAGAGGTAGCCTAAGAGACCAGACATTCAGGTCTCCCTCTGTAAAATGAAATGCAAAGTATTTTTTTACAATATTTAATTCAACCACTGAATATAACAACCGCTTGACAACAACAGCTGTGAACAAAGAAACATTAAAATAGTCAGCGTGGTACTTTTTGTCACTGTTTTAACATCATCACTTTCACATCCAGTACAGATGCCCTGGGACACAAAAAGGTACTTTTTCCTACTAGGTAATCTACAAATCATTAAACCAAACAAATCAATCGATCTGCAATGGCTATTCCTACTGTTTCACTGAGTGAAGAGGCTTATCATGAGATTAATGTTATTTTAACAAGCTCACTGGCAAACAATCAATCATGTGGACTTCCCCTACAGTCCACACAGAGAGAACACTGGATTTTAAAGATGTCTTAATAATTCAGGTACAGGCTGCAAGTTCTAACTTTGCATATTTATAGGAATAACAGTGTTAAGTGCAGTGATTTAAACCAATATAAAGAGTAATTAGTAGATATTTGCAAGTAAACTGTTCCTCTCACATCTGCTTGGCAGGTCTTTTGACTGGTATCAGCATAATAACTTCTGATCAGAGAATCAGTTCATGCTGGTATAATATATAAACTAGGTTTAGTAATGGGAAATCCAGAGCAGAATTTCCCCACGGGTCATACAAAATTTTGTGGTTGCACTAGAGAGCTCATATTACAAAATTTAGTGTGGTAAACATAACTAGAATGGCTTTCAAAACAAGAGTTAATACTGTCTTACCAAAGAATTATTTTACAATTGCTTCAAAAATTAAGAAGAAATATAAATTCCAAGGTAGTAAGTTGTCAGAGGGGAGAAATAAAATCCTATTTTATGAAGTTCAGATTTGTCACAAGATAAAAATTAGAGCTAGAAAGAGTAACAGAATTCCCTTCCCCACAATTTCCCCACACAGTTACAGATTTAATAAAAATACAGTGAAGACAAATTGTGACTTGGATTAGACAGAAAAATATAGGGCAATTCTATTTTTTACTTTGTTTTTATACTACCTTGGAAATATACTGGAAAACAGAAATGGTGAAGTCATGATATTTCTGAAATTGATTGTAAGATTTAAATTGCTGTGAGATTTCCACTCTGATGTCAAGCAGCTAATAAAGGAAGATGACAACTAGTCTACTTATTTAGTCACTGAAAGGAAAAGAACAAATATATTAGCAATACTTACATTTATTCTTTGAGGACTGTGCAAGCACAGAAAAGAAATGATGGGACTTGAATTCTGAATGGTAGATTTACAGCAAAATGTATGGCTGTATTTAAGCAGAACAGAAATAAATTCTTAAGAGGAGTGTGGGAAATAAATAGTAATATGTCTCTGTTCCATTGACAAAACGCAAAAAACTTGTTAGTAAACTCTTCTTTAGATTTGCAATTAGTAAAAACTCTTGTCATGAGGCTAAGACAAAGCAATCAATTGCATTTCCAAGATTAATCAAGAAATACGTGCTTTGAAATGTTGTTTGCGTATCAGATACATAGAATATGTTCTATCTCAGTAGGAGATTCAAAGGGAATCAAACTAAATCAAATTGAAAATTAGTAATTTGATCTCCTTTTACAAAAAGGTCAACAATGTAGTGGATGAAAGGATGGTGGTGGATGTAATCTTTCTGGATTTTATTAAGGCCTTTGATGCTGTCCATTACAGAATCCTTCTGGACAAATTTTCTGGCAGTGAGTTTAACAGGTCTATGCTAAACTCTGTATTGAACTGGCTCAACAGTAGAGCTCAAAGTGTCATAGTGAATGGGACACCATCTGTCTGGTGGACAGTTACTACTGATATTCCCCAAGGTTCAGTTAAAGGGCCAGTTCTGCTCAGCTTTTTTATTGATGATCTGAATGCAGGAGCTGAATGCATCCTTTACTCAGTGCTCTATTCAGCACTGAGGTGGTGCTGAGGTGGTGTTCAGATACATGGTGTCCAGTTCTGGGCTCCCCAGTTCAAGACAGACATGCTGGATAGAGTCCAATAAAAGGCCACTGGGGTGATTAACAGATTGGATTACCTCTCCTTTGACAAGAGGTTGAGAGAGCTTGGACTCTTTGGTGAAGAGAAGGCTCAGGAGAGATTTTTATCTAAGTCAGACCAAACCTCAGAGAAGCATATAGAGATGTAGAGTGAAAGTAATATTTATTCCTCTCTCCTAGATTCTAAACTGCTCCTTAGATACCTACAGAGATCTCCAGCACTCAACATATCCTACCACATGAGGTTTCTGGGGTGCAAAACCAGGAAGAACTTCACAAATTCTTCACAACAGGAATCAGTGCAAGAGCAGAGAACATGCGGTGTCATGCTCCAACTGAGGGACAGGACTAGACTTGTTCCATTTTTTTCTACAGGAAAAACCAGACAGGGATGTTTTGGCAATAGCAGTGGGTGCAGATGCATTCATCATTGGTGCGGTTATTGAGGAAACCATGCAAGAGTCCAGGTGAGGATGAAAGACTTAAAAGAGCAACAGAGCTGTTTCCTACCACATACTTTTGTGGTATAGTTCATGATTGTGGCATAAATACTGCTACCTCTTACACTCATACTAAATTATGTCTAAGCAGCTGTAAATCTGCACAATTGCACTTAGGACTTGTTTGCACACTGCTATTAAAACACGTGATTTAACATATGTGATAACATAAGTAACATACATGATCAGAGGGCTGGAGCACCTCTCCTATGAGGAAAGGTTGAAGTAACAGGGATTGCTTAGCTTGAAAAAGAGAAGGCTCTGGGGAGACCTCATTGTGGCCTTCCAGTACTTGAAGGGAGCACATTAACAGGAGGGGGAATGGCTGTTTACATGAGTTGATAGTGACAGGACAAGGGGGAATGGTTTTCAACAGAGACAGGAGAGGTTCAGGTTGGATATTAGGAGGAAGTTTTTCACACAGAGGGTGGTGACGCACTGGAACAGGTTGCCCAAGGAGGTTGTGGATGCCCCATCCCTGGAGGCATTCAAGGCCAGGCTGGATGTGGCTCTGAGCAGCCTGGTCTGCTGGTTGATGACCCTTCACATAGCAGGGGGGTTGAAACTAGGTGATCATTGCGGCCCTTTTCAACTCAGGCCATTCTGTGATTCTGTATGTGAAACTGCCACCCTCAGGCTCTATATTCTTTAGGTATACTGCTATGAGATACATATCATAATCAAGGTCATGGGCCAATCTGTGAGGCAGAAATGCTGCAGTATGAAGTTAAATACTTTGTTTAGCACTTTACAACCAAATTCCAGGTCACACAGTTTTTCTTTTCCACCTTCCATGGCACTGCATCACAATATTTATTTACATCACTATGTCTCCCAGGCTAACATACTCCAATAAAAACCCCACCTCTAATGTGTTCCTCACAAGTTGTTTACCCTTTCTTGAACCAAGATATCACATACCTCTTAGGGCACAGATTAGGAAGAGGCACACTAAGAACATTGTGAGATCGAGTGTTTTGATTTTAGGAACCAGCAGGCTCTTTATCCTCCCATTAGTTTCAGCCATTATAATTTACTGATTTTTAGGGGAAAAAAAAAACAACAAAACAACAAAAATTAAACTTTAGGAAAAAATACTTTTTGATCACATAAAGTTTATTTACCTAATAAAGTTATATTACAATATATACAGTTTCTATTTACATAAACTTCTTTCTAGTAAGTGAAGCACCATCTGATACAGTTAGTATTTTAAAGGAATTTACAGAAATTTTATTTTTGCATACAACTACTTGTATCTACAGACAGACACTGGTTAGAACCTACCTCTCCTAAGACACTTACTTCAGCGGATTTTGGATTAGGCTGCTAATAAAGTTACAAAAGAGAAATTTGTTATCAGCTATCAATCTCCTATGCTTCAAGATACGAGATCTTAGCTATGTCATTTCTGAGGCTATGTGCAAACTAATCTCTCAGAGGAAGTCAAGAGGTACAGACAGAAGATACCTTATTAGCCACAAGAATTCAGCACTCTGATCAGTAACATTTTCAGTTATCAGTAAGAATTTAACTAGAACAGAGAAAAGAAGGCTGTGTAAGTGTTTGTACACATTATGCAAAGTGAAGAGCCTGTAAGCTTTTGTGACATATTATCATGCATTCCCCAAAGAATCCATTATTAAAAAGCCCAGTCTTACACCTACTGAAAATCACGGCATGGTCCCCTAACCTCAGAGAGAAAGACGAGCTGCTGACTTGGTAATCGTTATGCCACTGTCAAGAAAAAAAAGAAGGCTCTGTCCAAGGTACGAAATTTACTTCAAGTGAAGAAAGGACATTTGGAGGGATGAAACGTCATGAGGTATTTAGAAAACTACAGGAAAAAAAAGGCACTTGGACTGTTTAGAAAAACTCTCAGATATTTTACATATGCAATTATTACATTCACCTGATTGTGGGTCAAGTTTTGTACAAACTACATACCTTTTGGCCACCTAAACTATACATTTCAAATTTTTGCTTCACTAGACATGGGATCTAGTGGCTGGAAGAAAGCATTGTTATTCTGAGGACAGTTACCATGACAGACACAGGTATTGATCAACATCATTGGCTTCTTTAGGAGTTTGCCCTGAGGACAGCGGAACTCAACTTGGATCGTTTTGGTGTTGTGTGGGGTACAGCATCGCCCATCATTGCAGAGGCCACAGTAACGAGGTTTGTAAGTCTGCACACTGGTGCAGTTCTTGTATTCAAAATGAACAGCCTTCATGGACTTCTTTGTTCGGATACATTTTTTCCCTTTCTAAGAGAAAAAGAAAAGATATTAGAGATATCACTGTATAAAAAAGAAAGCAACTGAGAACTGACATGCAAGGATATAGGTCTACTTGGAAAGCTTCCATTTGTTGTCTTTGCTAGCTCTACCTCAGTAATACTTTGCAGCTATTTCACTAGTTTCTTACCCATCCTCACTCCTTGACACCAGTATGTTATTAGGATGGAAATAAATGTCAGTTAAAGCTTTCTTTCTTTGTCTGAGACAAGATAAGCTGACGTTCATTATGAAACTCTACTCTAATGGAAAACTTCTCGGGCAACTGTAGCTCCATGAGAGAGAAACAGGAAGACAAACAGCAAGTTACAGAACTAAATTCAGGAAAAGAAGGCTAAAACAAAACCCAGAAGCCCAATCCTTGTGACCCAAGGCAGAACCAGTTTTCTCCATGTTACTCTTAACAGATGCTTGTCTAACCTGTCCTAGGAAGCCTTCACTGGACAATCCTAATGGTTCACTATGCTTACTGCTTGGAAGGTTTTCATACTTTTGATTTTCACGTAGTCTAAATTCATGTCTCATCATATCTCCCACAAATTCAGGCTGTAATATCTCAGCACAGTTATGAAAACTTGCATCATTTCTCTTGCTTGCAGTTAAAGTGCAGTTTAATCAAATTTTCTTTAGAACAGATTTTCTAGACCTCTGACCATTCCTGTTAGTTTCCCCAATCTTTTCCAAATGTTTCACATCCTTCTCAAAACACGGCATTCAAAACTGCATAGAGAATTCAGCAAAGATCTCAGCAATGCTTTCCAACACAAGAACATTACAAAACAAATGGCCCTCTTCCCTACCTACATTATTCCCACTGGCAGCAAAACTTGTAAAATGTCTAGAAGCAGCTGAAATAGTCAGCTCTCTTCGAAACATATTTATTGCTGTTTCATTGTCAGTGTTGGGTTTGCTTTTGGCAAAACATCAAAAGGATTAAGATTTAGTTTACCCAAGTAGATTCACACATTTCTCTGCACTTCTACAAAGTTCATCAGACTAGAAATATGATGTATCCATTCTGCATATGCAATATGTTCGATCTCTCTGGGATACCTCAAACGATGTGCAGCATAAAGCTATTGAGCATACATGACAAATCTAATGCTTTGGAAAAACAAAGGGTTTGCTTCATGTATGATAAAATATGTATGTATATACACTTCTATCTAGAGCATTCTAGACTGAAATACTGCAGCCTTGGAATTACAGCTGAAGAGATGCTGCTCCTGCCACTGCTCAGAGCATACCTTATCAGATGGCTCTTCATTTTCACAAGGTCTCATCATGCAAAGTCTTGTCTGCTTCACCATCTCACACTGCTGATTTCTGTTGGTAACACGGGTAGAAAAGCCCATTCCACAACTTTTGGAACAAGCACTCCATTCTGTTGTCTGTTCAATACAATTGGCACTTGAATCAGACACGTCTATCCCAAGTGTGGCCTCCTGTCTGTATGCTAGAAACAAAATGCCATACAACTTTGTTATTAAGAAAAACTCAAGACAGCAGAGTATCTAATTGATCTGTACCGCATCTGGGATGAAACATGAAACAAATACAGCTGAAAAACCCATAATTCAAGAATTTTAACATCTGCTCGTTCAGCTGTTCTGGATGGCTACTTCCTACATCTAAAGGTCAACATAAAGGTGCAACAACTATTTAGTCTTCATTCTTTCCAAAGGAATACATCACAAATTCATTCTTAAGTTGTCACAAAAATATTTATATCAGGTATGATTTAAGAGAGGTCATATATTTTATCTAAACTAATAAACAGCGGGGAAGTAAAGTGTTTAACTCCCACAGTCATAAAGTCACCCAACTTCGTCAGTTATTGACAGATTATGGTGGGAAGGAAGCAGGGAGGAGAGGAGAAAGGGAGGGTGGGAGGGAAATTCCTGGGTGCTCAAAGCTATTGCCAACTCTGATCACTGTTCTGCCCTCATGGATGTGTTCAGCTCCATTCTGCAAACATTGCTAACTGTGGTTGGTTCAGTGGTTATCACAGCAGTAAAGAGAATGAGGAAACATGACTAGGCTAGTCACATGAATATTCCTGTGTCATTCCCAAAGCTTCAGCTGTTAAGCTTCTCTAGAAATGTATTTTCACCTTTTGCAAGGTAAAACTCCAGAAAGGTGGCCTTCTACAATGAATGGCCATCAACAGAAAGAATCCACATAATCAATCTCTAGGTATTTTAAAGACCTAGGATCAGACCCAGTGCCTGATGTAGTGGTTGGCAACCCTGCAGCAGAGGGTGTTAGAACTAGATGATCTCTAGGGTTCCTTCCAATCCAAGCCATTCTATGATTTGCCTGTCACTGTCAAAAAAATAAAAATCGAAGAAAATGAAAGACAGTAGAAAGATGGCAAGCTTTTCATTTATATCTGATGTGCCTTACATCTGACTCTTCATAGCACTCTGAAGTTACTATTAGAGCTTTTCTTCCTGAATCCTTCCTTAATATTTTCTCAAATGGATTAGCTGAGTTTCAGCATAAGTAACTGCTTAAGAGCACAAAGAGCAGTGACTGGAAGAGAATGCAGTGCCCTCAAATCTCAGTAAAAGTAGCTCATGAAAATTCATGTTGAACTGATAGACTGCTTTTGAAGAGAAGGAGGCGTAATCCAGTAAGAAAATAAGAAAAAATACTATGTAGCTTAATTGATTTAAGTTATAAAAGCATTTGATGAGTTCTGTGTTTTGGAATGGAAATTTTTTCCAGATCCACTCATTATATTTGTAACTACTGCTTCTCTGAGTACTTCAGAAAGCTTTTAATGCCAACAATAATGATGAGAGCTCTAGCACAGACAGACAGGAATTTGCTGGCATTTTAGCTGCCATGCTGACTACTTGTAATAGCCAGGGAATTTGGGGGAGGAAAAAGTGTTTTACAGACTAAGCTGTAAGAATGGTATTATGATGTAAGAGCAAATAGCAAGACTACAGTTTTGATTCTTTTGATTTGACAATAAAGTTTGGAAGATTATGACCTTGTTCTACACACAGAACTAACCTGCACCAGATAAACAGCAATTCCAGAACTGGAAAGTAACTCAGGCTAACTACTCCCCTGTCACTGATGCAAGGTATGGCTGCACCAGGCTCTGAGCAACCTGATCCAGCTGCAGGTGTCCCAGTTCACTGCAGGGGAGTTTAAAGGTCCCATCCAACTTGTTCATCCTCCAAGTATCTTTTCTTTTACCTGTCAACCTCTGCCTTTCTTCACAACCAGTGGCGTACTTACTGGTCACTCTAGATGAGAAATAAGAAAAACAAAACGACAACAAAAGAAAACAGCACAAAGCAGCTGCATCTTAGACTTTGCAAGCCCCGGGACATTTCCATCACATCATCCTCTCCTCCTCACAGCTGTAATAGTTTTAGCTCCTCACCAGCCATAGCAAAGCCTCCCAGGAGCACTTCATCCCTGGGGTCGCAGACCCACTTCTCGCAGCACTCTCCGGGGACTTCGATCTTCCGCGGGAAGGGACAGTCGGGGCCGGGGAGCAGCAGGCCCAGGTTGCAGCGGGGCAGGCACCCGATCTGCCCGTCCCGGCAGGTGCACTGGTACTTGCAGCTGGGCTGGAACGTCTCCCCGTTGCGGTAAATCATCCCATCGAACACGCAGTTGTCTCCTTCCAGCACTGGTGAGGAAAGCGAGTGCATTTCAGCGGGGGAGGTCAGCCCGCCCCGCCCGTCCCGCCGCACCTACCCATGCAGATGCCGGTGCCGCCGCCGTCCTCGGGGCCGCGGTCGCAGTAGAGGCCGCCGCTCTCGTCGCAAGGCAGCAGAGGGGAGCAGCTCTCGCCGCGCTGCCGGGCGCACACGAGGCAGCAGCCGCAGCCGTCCAACACGGCGGGCACTCCGGGGGCGCAGCGCGGCGGCTCCGCGGGGCAGCGCCCGCCGCAGGGCCGGGAGCACGCCGCCTCCCGTCCGCTCACCTGCGGGGACAGAGCGGCCCCGAGGGCCTCGGGTCACGGCGCCCGCCCGCCCGACGGCGCCCGCCCCCCGCGCCCCCCGCACTTGCCTCGCACGGCCGGAGGAGGAGCAGCAGCAGCAGCAGCAGCAGGACGGGCGGGCCCTGCCGGCCGCCCGTCTCCATGGTCCCGGCCGCCTACCTGCCGCGTCGCTCGGCTCTGCCGGGAAAGCCATTGCGGCCGCTTATATAGAGGCCGGCAGGGACCCCCCCCCCCCCCCCCCCCCACTCTCCCCCTCTCTTCACACGCCCCGCCGCCGGCAGCGCGTGACGGAGGCGGGGAGCTGGAGCTGGGCAGGGCGCTGCGCTCCGCTCCTCCATCTGCTCCGCCACCTGCACGGCGGTGCCGAGCCCTGCCCGCGTCCCGGCGTTGCGGCCGGAGCTGAAGCCCTGCTGATCTGCTCCGCAGGGCCGGCGCCGTAGAATCGTACGATCACAGGATCGTTAAGATTGGAAAGACCACGAAGATCATCTGGTCACACCGTCAGCCCATCCCTACCATGCCCACTAAACCATGTCCCTTAGTGCCACATCTAGATGTCTCCTGAACACCTCCGGGGATGATGGTTCCCTCTCCCTGGGCAGACTGTGTCAGTACCTCACCACTTTTTTGGAGAAGAAATTGATCCTGATATCCAAATTGAAACTTAAGGCCATTCCCTCTCATCCTATCACTGATGCTTGGGAGCAGAGGCCGACCCCCACCTCACTGCAGCCTCCTTTCAGGGATTTGTAAAATGCAGTAAGGCTATCCCTGAGCCTTCTCCAGACTGAACAATCCCAGCTCCCTCAGCTGCTCCCCATAAAACGTGCTCCAGACCCCTCACCAGTTAGCTGCTCTTCTCTGAACACACTCCAGGGCCTTGATGTCTTGTAGTGAGGGGCCCAACACCAAACACAGCATTCAAGGTGTGGCCTCTCCAGACCTGAGTACAGAGGGATCACTTCCCTGCTTCTGCTGGCAACGCTATTTCTGATACAAGCCAGGATGCTATTTGGCCTTCTTGGTCACCTGGGCACACCGCTGGCTCACGTTCAGCTGGCTATCAGCTATCACCCTCAGATCCTTTTCCTTCCTTCTCTCAGGACATAGACCCACAGTCCAGGGCCCACTTGCTTCGCCACATTGAGTGGGGGGACCTGCATGGCTGGACCAAGGCCACCAATGTGCCTTACAAAGGGACAGCATTACAGGGTGACACCTCTCATCAATAAACTTCACTGAGCACAGCCCAGTGAAGAAGGACTTGGAGGTCCTAGAGGATGAAAAACTAGACACAAGCCAGCAGTCTGCACTTACAGCCCAGACGACCAACAGCATCCTGAGCTGCATCAGAAGAGGAACAGCAGCAGGGAGAAGGAGGTCATAGTCCTCATCTACTCTGCCCTCATGAGGTCCCATGTGGAGTGTTACATTCAGGCCTGGGGCCCCATGCACAGAAACTCTTTGCAAAGCTGTTGGAGAGGGTCCAAAGGAGGGCCATTAATTTGATCGGAGGGCTGGACCACCTCTACTATGAAGAAAGGCTGAAGAAGTGAGGCTTATTTACCTCGGAGAGGGGAAGGCTCTGCAGAGTCCTCACAATGACCTTCCAGTACTTGAAAGGAGATTATAAACAGGAGAGGGACTTACTTTTACATGGTCTGATAGTGATAGGACAAATGAGAATGACTTTAAACTAAAAGAATGGAAATTCAGGTTTGATTTTAGGAAAAAAATCTTTACTCCAAGAATGGTGAGGCACAAGCTGTCCAGAGAAGCTGTGGGTGCCTCATCCCTGGAAGTGTTCAATGCCAGGCTGTGTGAGGCCCTGAGCAGCTCGATATGGTGGGTGGCAGCTCTGCCCACTGCAGAGGTGTTGGAAATCAATGTTCTTTAATGTTTCTTCCAACACATGCCATTCTATGATTCTATGGGAAACTATATCTGTTAATGTGCCTTATCTGTCAGGAATTGTCTTCTGCCCATGGTAGCCCTGGGTCTTTCTAGGATACAGATAATCTCTATCCCCCTGCTTGTCTAAGGCAGATCATAGCAACAGATTCTGTCGCGGCTTGTTAAAAGAAAATATTTGAAAAACAAACAAGTTGTGGGCAGATCAGTGAAAACAGGATGCCTTTTCAGCTTAAGACATAACACAAGTGGTACACATGAACTTACAAGGCTGATGTAGCTCTAAGCCAAAGCAATACTCAGTGCAAAACCAGCAATCGTCAGACGCAAGTTTTACTTTGGACAAGAATTACCATTCCTTCCCTAATGCTACGTGGCAACAGCTGGGTTTCTGGTGCAGCCTGTTGTCCCCACGAACAGCAAACTTCACCGGCACAGAGACAAGTCACACGTTGACCATTCATGTTCTTATTCCTAAACAGCAGAGCCAGCCAGGGGGAACAGAGAACTGCTCAGTGCTTATTTACAGCATGGCATTATTTCAGGTATCCAGAGCTGCACAGGTCATTTCAACTTACTTTTCTCTTTTTTTCCCTTGCATTTTGCCTACCACCTCTGATTTAGCCAGTTAGTGTAAAGCCACTTTTTACAGTGCCTTGCTTGTGAACAGAATCACCGATGCTCTTGGCCAAGTATTAATTTTTGCTAAAAAGAAGCATTGCTACTCCTGTAGTTTTCCCAGAAGCAGGGCTGTAAGCCAGAGGGACACATACAAGATCTGTTTTTGCCTGTTTGTCTGATGAGGTTTTCAGTGCCAGTAATCATCCACAGCCACTGAAAGTTACCTTCCCTTTAAATGAGATTACTTCACTCCTGAAAGGTTTCACCGTGTACAACTTTAGAGATAGTTAAAAAAAACAACAAGAGAGAGAACATTTACTGGCATACTTAATTCGGAAAAATTAACAGCTTTATGTACATCTAATAAATTTATTAGGGTCCCGTGCTCTTATAAAATACCAGTTATAAAAGTAGGATGATGCTGCAGTTTAGTGCAGTGGGTCCTAAAACTTTTTTTCCAGACGTTTCTACCCCTCCAAAGCATGCTTAATTTGGAGTCTGGTGAAGTTACCTGTTCTAAGATGCTTCTTCATCTTTCTAACGTGATTCCTTTTGTCTGTACTTGCTTTACAACTTTGTTGAGAATGACATAACATGCTTATCATATGAAAGTACTCTTCATTAATGTTCTTCAGAGAGTAAAATAACGTTGAGGTGGATGGGTATGTTGCTGGCTCAGCTGACAATGCATAGCCCTTCCTTGTGCTTTAAAGCTGGTAGGTATGAATGAATGAATGGTCTCGTTTCTTTGGGTTTGCTTTTTTGTATTTAAGTGGGGTAATATTTGGTTTGCCGCCCTGGCTATGGTTAATGCAAAGAGTAATTCCTCCTAATATGTAAAGAAATCAACCTCTGCTGCTCACTTTGCAGGAAGATATGACTAATGAGCAGCATGAGAAGTGCAAGTTCAGGAGCAGAGTCCAGCAATAGAGTTCCAACTCTAAGAATAAACTTCATGGCTTTTCCATGCCAAGGTCACAGGCAAGGAGAGTCTTGCATGGTACCTAGTCGGAGGAAAACAGGTTGGTAATCTGCAGTTTCTAACTATTAGGGATATAGTATGCACTGGTATGTAAATCACTAAGGGGCTGTGCAGAACAAATGCAGAAGTGTTTTCTAATCTTAACTCTAGAATTCATCTTCTATTGCAATAAATGCTTAAGCAAGCAAGATAATGGGTCTTTTGTTGTACTTTAAACACTGTCAAGACACAACATGCTTTTCATGTCTTTTCTTTTGGAAGGAGTACAGCTTTCTGGTTTTGCACAGAGAATGTATGCTCAAATTCAGCTGCAGCTACGATCTCCCACACTGGCCAATATCAGCCTTTGCAGGCAAAGATTTCTCACTCTGAATTTCCATGTCTGTCTTGTGCTAAATTTCTGGCATGGTTCTCTGGACATGACATTTCACTTAGATCTTTACCTCCATAGAGCTAGTAATGTTAAATATGTTGCTTTTACCCAAAACCATTTACTTCTTCAACACCCAATGGTTTGTAGATATTTTACCACCAAAACAACCACAAGACTGGAAGCAGAGGTGACAAATAATACTGGCTTAACTCTTAGAGAATTTCTAATTACTGATCCTATTCCTATCCAGAAGTGTTTAAGCATGTAGCAAGCCTTACAAACATTCAAGAAATCATGGCAACGTCCCTCTTTTCAAAGAAAGCCACCTGTCCAGCTTTCTGACTTCACAAAAACCAGTTGCACAAAATTTTTACATTTACAATACAATTTTTTACATTTACAAATGCTATATTTTTCGTGAAAATATAATGATTTTGGATTTTAGCAAGTTTTTCTCCATTTGGATGACAGCTTCAAATTCCTAACGTGCTTTGGGCTATGAATGTTCAGTGACCTAAATATGGAGCAAAATATATGTATATAAACACCACAGTAAATTCATATGTCAGTGTTATCAGTTTTCCATTCACAATGCACTTGACACACTAATAGCAAACCAGCAGGCTTGGTTACAAACTTGCTTAGGTATTAATTGTGTTGCTCACATGGGTGAGTGGGTACCAAAACCCCCTCAAATCAGTTGTCCCTTACAGCTACTACTTTGAGGTGTGTGCCACAGTCATAGTGTTTCAGGAAAAATCTGTCCAAGTGGAATCTCCTACATTTGTCTGTTTAAATGGCTAATCTACATGGCTAGTGTGGAGTTTGGTAGACTCTGACTTTATGAGAGTTTATTTAGCCTGCTGCCTCCTTGATTAACATACACACTGCATGAAGAGCTATCCAAACTCAAATATTTAACTGCACTTTTGGGTTTATGTTCAATGTTTGGAGCTTTAATATTGATGGATGCTGTGACTGCGAAGGTGGTACTTGCGCTGCAAATACTAGATGCTGGTGCTGGTATTTCTGATGTCAGTCTTAATGACTTATCCTATTTCTTATCAAACTATTGAGAAAACCAAGAAGATTTCTTCCTATGAAGAACAACACAGTTTCCTAAGCAATCCCTTCAACATTTTATAAAGACTCAGTATTTCCTATTCACAGTAGGATTCCTGTTACCTTTAAGCAAAGGAGCTGTGTTCACAAAAGAGATGAACGTATTTATATATTGATACATATGTAACCTTTTGAATAGAATCTAATGGGTAACGCCAATACCCAGAAGATATGCAGAATGGAAAGATTCTGAGAAGATTCTGTTATTGTACAATAACAAAAAAGCCCCGACAGTCTGGTCAGCATGAAAATCATCAAAGGAGCAATAGTAGTTCACCAAGAGTAAGAGAATCAATTTCTAAAGACATCTGGTCATGCTGGAACAGATCTGCAAATCCTGTTGCAGGGCTGCTCTGAAAGTAGTATCTCCTATTTGATTATCTTGGCCACGATGACAGAGGCATATGTCGGTGGTGTGCAGTAGACGTTGTGCCTTTGCACCAGTATTCCATTGCACTTTATTGCTGTCTGACAAATGGCAGCAGAGGGGCAGTCTGACAAAAAGTTATCTGACATGGAAAGGTGTATGAAGCAAACGCGTGTCACTGAATTCCTCCATACAGATAAAATGGCCCCCACTGATATTCATTGACATTTGCTGAATATTTATAGAGACCAAACAGTGGATGTGAGCACAGTGAGGGGTGGGTGGTGCACTTCAGCAGTGGTGACAGTGATGTGAAAGACAATCCACGTTCCAGACAGCCATGCAGACTTTGATGAGCGTAACACGTAGGTTTTTGTTCATTAGTGGCAAAAAAAGAAAAGTGTAGGTAATGGTGATGACTGTGGTGAAATATAGTGATTCTGTAGCCAAAAACTTGCTATATCAAATAGTGTAATTGTGCTCCTTGTATCTATTACAGATTCAATGGAAATAAATAGGATGAATTACTTTCAGAGCAAGCTATGTATCATGAAATGGATGATGAAAATATGGCAGGCCAGTGGAGGTCAATACGATCCTTTATGCTCTTGCTGAGTAAACCAGGCTAGTAAATCTTCCTCACTAGAACATTGAGTGCACTGATGACCTTTCTCTCCAGAAGAGAGAAGTTTCAGCTGAATGATGGATACTCCAAAAAAACAACTGGTTTGCTCAATGTTTAATGCTGTTTGCTGTTTCATTCCTTTAAGTAGGGTGTAAGAAGTAATTATTTTTCTAATGACAAAATGTTCAAAATGAATCCCTAACCATGGTTGTGTTTTGCAGTTGAAATTAAGTATGAAAATGAAATTATCCTTCCTACTCCTTTCTACTACAGAAGCGTTTGTCTACTTTTCATTTAGCACAGTGTTTCTTGTGTGGTATTTCACAATTCCATTTAGCCTATGAAACAATATGATCTGTTTTGCAATACCTATGAATTGTGTGACTGTCATTTGGATTCTTTTTTTTTTTTTTTTTGAGATATGCCTGCTTTTTTGAAAAATAACCAACAAACCAACAGTTTTGGCGAATTAGAAATTTGGAAAAAAATATATTGGAATATCTTTATTTTAGAGATTCATCTTTTGGATTTTTATATTTTTAGATATAACTGAATACAACTTTGGAATGAAATAATATTTCATACAAAATTGAAACATAATTTAGAAAACATCAGAATGAATTATGTGGGGATGTGGAGTTGCATCATTGCTTTGGACTCAGACAATTTTATGTACTCAAAAGAAATTCACAGAATGTTCCAGTTTAATCCAGCCTCCAAATTCCACCAAAAAAGATCCCTTGATTTCTTTCCATCAGACCTATTTTAGCTGTAGGACACTCTGGGAATTCTTACAGCACCAGTCACCAGGTGAAATTGCCACGTGCTGTGGTTATTTTGGAAAACGAGGAACAACAGAATCATAGAATCACCAAGATTGGAAAAGACCTCCAAGATCATCCAGTCCAACTGCCCACCTACCACCAATATCCTACCTACCACAAATATTTCCCCACTAAACCATGTCCCTTAGTACAACAATAGGTGCTGGGTATGCTAGTTCATGGGTGTTGTGCACTGAGCAGTAAATCATAGAATCATAGAATGCTTGGGGTTGGAAGGGGCACTTAAGATCATTTAGATCCAACCCCCCTGCTATAGGCAGGGACACCTCCCTCTAGGCCAGGTTGCTCACAGCCCCATTCAGCCTGGCCTTGAATGCTTCCAGGGAAGGGGCATCACAGCCTCACTGGGGAACCTGTTCCAGTGTCTCACCACTATCACAGTAAAGAATTTCTTCCTAATATCTAGTCTAAATCTACCATCTTCCAGTTTAAAGCCATTTCCCCCCATCCTGTCACTACATGCCCTTATAAAAAGTCCCTCCCCAGCTTTTCTGCAGGTCCCTTTCAGATACTGAAAGGCTGCTATAAGATTCCCCTGAAGCCTTCACTTCTCCAGGCTGAAGAGTCCTACCCAGCTCTCTTATTTTGTCCCTGTAGGGGAGGTGCTCCAGCCCTCTGATCATCTTCGTGGCCCTCCTCTGGACCTTATTCAACTCCATGTCCTTCTTGTGTTGGGGCCCCAGAACTGGATGCAGTACTCCAGGTAAGGTCTCACAAGAGCAGAGCAGAGGGGCTGAATCACCTCCCTTGACCTGCTGGTCATACTCCTCTTGATGCAACCCAGGACATGGTTGGCCTTTTCATCTGCAATTGCACATTGCCAGCTCATCTAGGAATCTTAGGTCCTTAAGAAAACTTTTTTTTTCTCACAGTTTCTAATTTTGACAAAGCTATAATCCTTATATTCAGAAGGCTGCAAGCAACATTCTGTAGTGCTAATTTCTGCTGTGCTTGGAAGAAAGGGAATGAGACTTGTGCAAGAAGTGGGTCATTAATGCTTACTCTCAAAAGAAATGAGATAGTATTTTCTTATTTCATTTGATTTAAAACTTGACTAACCCTATTTATATAATTGTATATTGTATCTGAAATAACCAGACTGATATTAGAAAGTGGCTAAGTTTGGTTCGTTTTACTGCATAAGATGATAATGGATAAAATGGAAGGGGAAATCCTCCTTTAATTATTCACCAAGTGAGATTTGTTTTGGTGCATGTGGCCAATGAAATCTTGAGGAACCTATAACCTAACTGATTTCAAGAGCTACAGAAGGGGCATATGAACAGATCATTTGGAACGTACAGGTTTTTGGCTCTTTCTGGACAAAACAGCTCATAGATGGTTGTCTTAGAGTATTTTTCAGAATAAGAATATACACGTGAGCAAGATCTGCAAGAACAGGTTGGCATTTTGAAGAACCTAATGGTGATTAAAGTGATGTTCTGCCATCAGAAAGTTAGATCAGTTGAGTGGGGTTTCCCCATCTTTCTTTCCTCTCCAAAGAACAGCCATTCCTTGAGCATGTCTGACAGAAAGGGGTATGGCTAATTGATTCAGCTAGCTGCCAAGTGAGGTTTGTTGCAGTTTTTGACACTGCCAAGTGAGGTTTGTTGCAAACTGCATGATTTAGGGCTGCCCTTTATGCCTGTTTCCCATATCTGTGTTGGTGTCTGCCAAGAGCTGAATAATCTGGCCATAAGTAACAAAAACATATTTTATAGATCTCATTTCATGTTGCAATATGCTTTTGTCATATTCTTTTGTGACCTTTACTGAAAAATAAAAAACTGGGGAGAACAACTGGAACTTACAATGTGCCCTGGGAAGGAGCAGTTCCAGAGTTTTTGAATTGGGTGAGATCTGAATTAAATGCTTCAAAACTACTGAGAGTGCAAGCCAGTGAAAACAAATGAAAGGCAGTTAAATTGGACTCTCCTAGATTGAGCACTCCCTGTGATCTTTGTTGCTTTGTGCCACAGATGTCAAGGCAGTCTCAGAAGTAATTCTTACCATTTAAGGCTCTTAAGGTTAAAACCAGCTTTTGCTCATAGAGCAAGTTATTAACTGGTGAAGACAGAGAAGTATGAAAATATGTTCCCCATAGTGGAGTATCCCATATCAAGCACTGACCCACTGTGCAGCAACTGCACTCTGGTAGGGGTCTGAGGGGTGCATTACAAGAGTGAGAAGGGCAAGGACAGAGAACAGCTACAGGGGGTTGTATCAGGCACAAGGTATTCCCTTCTTCTAACTGGAATGAATTTGAAGACCATACATTTTGAATCAAACATTTGATTTTGAGCACCTTTTATTTGTCTCAGTCAATAATGCATCTGCATTTTCTCCATCATCTGTTCTGTGCTGCTGCAGCATCCATGAAGTTCAGGGCTGCGCTGGATGCTTTTCCAAGGAACCGTTCCCAGCCATGGTTCCTGGATCAATTGTCGATTCTTCCCAAAATCTCCTTGTTGTTTCCTTAAGTTAGATCTTAAAAATATTCATAAGGAAATGCTGAAATTTTGGTCCCGCGATAGCCAAGACTTTCTGTTGGCACTTCAAAGAAATTTTTTTCTCCTTTTACAGCCATACGATATCAGCATCGCATACCTTGTAGCTGCATGTAATGACTTTTGCCAAAGGCAACATACCGAATCGAGGTTCACCCACCCAGAGGAGTCGCTGAGTCCGAGCTCTGCATCAGCCATCCAGCAAAGGAATTGAAGACATGAGAGATGGAAGAAACAATTGGTCATCTAATCTCTTTTTCTATTTTTGCTGGTCTTGTTGCCAGGGAGATGTTGTATTAAAAGGAGTCGCCTACAGAGTCACTTCACTTACAAACTGCCTCACTGTAAAAACATCGTTTAAAAATAAAGTTTAAAAATAGACTTGTAGACTGAAAATGTTGTTGTGCCATTGTTTAGCCAAGCTCAAATAATTTAATGCTTTCAATATTCCTTGTAAATGATCTGCTCAGGTTTTTTTTTTCTTTTTTCTTTTTTCTTTTTTTTCTGTGTTTCTCTAAGTTTTCTCCAGGTTTTCCAACTGAAGCTCATAGAGCAGAAAAGGTCTGTTCAGAGTAGCATGTCTTTTTTTTTTTTCCTAAATCAAACTTGGGGGCTTGTTTATAGAGACCGCTTCAACTGTCTCTACAACACAGTTGATTCCATTTTACCCACTTTCTTTTCTTTGGTGCTTCTAGAAGCTTCTGAGAAAGTCTACCTCCGTTTTCCCTTTTGTGGAAACGAGATGGATTCAAATCCACATGCTTTTTCTTTGGGACACAAGTGCTTGCTGATACATTTGCTTCTGAATTCAGAATAAACACAGTGCAAATATTCGTCGAGGTTAACATGACATTTACCTGTTCAGTAAGCATTACTAAATTGAAGGAATGGGCAGAAAATCCAGACATCTGCAGTTACAATCTAGATTACTATTTAGCCTTCTCTTCAAAGAAGTGATTTGGGAGGAATGTGGGAGGTCCCGAAACAGAAGAAGAACTGCCCTATGGAAGCAGGTAGCCCTACTCATGTGTAATGAGGGTTCAGCCTCATGCTCTGTTCCTGTGATCTCATCTCCTTTTTGAAGAGTTCTGAAGGAACTTCCCCATATAGCTTCTGTTCCATATCTTAAATGTTTGGAGGACACAGCACAGGAGAACAGCAAATATTCAGAGCATCATTTCTCTTGAGGTTTAAACATCTCTGAGATGCTGCCACCACTCCCATCAAAGTCTGTGGGCCCGCACTGTTTCTTGCTGTACATGTTCTGGTTGATTCTTTGTCATCAGTTTCCTACAACAGATGTGTTTGTGTGTGTCTTCCAGGCCACCAAGAGTTTTACTTTTGGTGACAGGGTAGATGTTGTTTCTTTCAGCTGGTGTTCATAATTCCTTGAACAAGTCAGTTGGCCACTAATGCAGGAAAGCCAAAGATGCATGTAGTATTAAAAGAAATAAATACAGTCATTTCAGGATGTCTTGTGGCTACTTTTCCTGGCAGTTGTTGGTAGCACATGGTGCTGCATATACCATTACGACTTGTGCAGCTGGAGAGCAGTTGTGAAGACGACAGCGTAGTTACCTGGGGGAAATTCCAATCTCGCTACTTAATTTATAAGTTTGGTTCTAGAGATGGTGTCACAAGAAGCTCCAGGGCACTGTTTCTAACTTCAAGTCGCTGCTTCTGCCAAAGCTGGAGAGAGTGCTGGGATGGATTTACCAAGGTGAAAGGGCTATTCAGGTGGTAACCACCTGGTGTGGCTGGATCTTATGAGAACTGAGCAACTTAATCTGAAGGAAATTGGTCCCATAACAGCCTAAATGCTCGACACACAAAACCACATGTTTTGGAACACTACAGCCTTGATGTTTTTGCAGAGGTGGGTGGGATAAAATATACGACTATCTCATCTTATATGAATTCCTGTAAGTCACTTTGCTCAGTCTGGACCCCAAATCCTGTTGGAAATTGAACAGCATATCATTTGAGTTTGCTTATAGCTAAATAAAAGCAAATATTAAGAAATGATGAATGTGATTTTTTCTAGATTATTACTGTATGTAGAGGAAGGCTGTAATGTCTTGAGAGTGTCACTCCACTGAGAGTCCACACAGCTGAGGAAATAGATTGAAAGGCATTCCTGATGCTGTAGAAAATGAAGGGCATTGGTTTTCATTAGTGACATTCATATTTCCTCCTGGCTCATAATTTTTGAGTGTGAAGTATTGACAAGAATATTTGCAAGAAGATGGAGCACCTTGCATTAATATTCGTATGTATTGGTATCTGTAGCATTCGAACTATAGTCATGTATGCTAAACAGGTCTCTTGACTACCTAAGTAATAAACAAAACAGCTAGGACCTTTACAATGACATGCAAACAACACTTAAATATAAAATTGTACAACAGGAGTTCCACTGTGCATTTCAGTGACTGGCTGCTTAATGCCCGGACAGTGAATGAATCTAGATGCTATCATTTGCTCCAGTGGAACAATTAAAGATAAAAATAAAACAAAAAGTAACATTATAACCAGACAAACAAACAAAAAATCTTTGAATAAATATTAGCCAGACAGTAATTTGACCACTTCCTTCATCTGCAAGGAATGATGTTGGGTTGGAGATGTTAGACCCATGGTTGGTGCACTAAACATGACATCTGCTATGTTGGGCACAATGTGGCAGTTGTGTTGGAAAAAAAATTGGCACTGTAAAGTACAAATGGTGTCACTACAGCCAGGAATGACAATCAGACTCTTGGTATCAAAGCAGATGATTATCTGACTGCTCTTTGTGCCATCCTATGGCCATAGTTATCTCTGTGAAATGGTAATTCCAAACTCTGTCAGTAGTGATCTGAAGGTAATTTCCTTGTTCTTAGAAAATAATGAAAATTCAGATCTGCCAATGGATCGTACTACTTGTTCTTAATATCTGTTGATGTTGGTGAATGATGGTTCTTCAATAAAAATAAGTCTAAACGAAAGGGAAAGTATTAAAATAGCAACAAGGGCGAAAAGTAAGAAAGAGTTAAGAAACTTTTGCTTAGTGAAAAAGATGGAAACTTTTGATAAATAACCATTCACTTCTTCAGTTAATGGAAGGAAAAGCTACGTTCTTTCAGATTGCTTGCCACCTGCACACAACTTGATTTTCCTGTAAGTAAAGGAAGTAAAAGTCAAAAATGGGGGAGAGGAAGGGAGGATAGCAAAGCAAAGCAAAGTAAAGCTGCGCTCTGCTCCATTTCCTTCCGTTTGCTTGCTCTGCTCTTTAATCTCTGCAGCAGCTCATAGGAGTGTTAACAAGGCTGGCAAACACAGCTGGTGTATCCTGCCTACCGGATCCATTTGTCCTTCAGTACCAGTGCCATGCTATTATAAACGGTTGTAAAGTACTTTTAGTTCATAAATTTTTCCAGAAATATTTTCTTCAGTATAACCTTTCAGTTTAAATACAGTGCAGACAGCAGGCTAGGTATGTGAAATCCATGGCTACAGAAGTATGTTTGAAAGTCTCTAGGCCACAAGTCCATTTCTCATGCCAAGAAGAGAGGAAAATTTTAATAAACTGGAAACAGAAATAAAAGAAGGTCAGGGATAAACCAGGAGAAAAGAAAAAAGGAGTTACAGAAAGACAGGCAGAAAAGAAAGACATATATTGATTTTAAAACAGTGCAATCTTTTAATCAGCTGCTATTGCATTGAACCTTATCTTCGAAAACAGACATGACAAAAGCATAGTTTGTATCTTGGGAAGTGCTTTGCAGCAGTAACTTGTTGATATCATAAGTACAATTATTATTATTAGTAACTTATATTAAATATGTAATAAATATTAAGTAAAGGTTTTTTTATAGATATCACTGCAACTTCCTCTGATACTACATGGTAGGTGTGGTACAGATACAGAAAAAAACATAAGCTCTGATCATGACAGGTTGGAACCTAAATGAAATTAACAAGTTTATTACATCATGAGGTATGGATTTGCTGAAGCTGAAACCAGAATTTACAGTGTCTGCGCTCATGGTAAATATTTTCTGCATGGCATTGTATTCATCACTCCAGGTTTCATAACATAAGATAAAACATGTGTATCCTGCGCCATGAAAGTACATCCAAATATTGTCTCAGCAGCATCAGCTTGTTTTAAACAAATGTGTGCTCTTTGTTGTGTAAATGATCTATTTTCTTTTCTTTTCTTGAAAATACTAAGCCCTTTTCCCCCTATAACGTCTCCCTGCTTTTCCACTCTGAATCCTTTATGACTTGAAATATTTTCATTTCAGTAATTTGATGATCTATTAATGTAATTCAGGATCTTTAATATCCTGTCAGACCATCAGGCAACCAAAAGTTTTAGAATTACATCAGATGATCATAACTAAAATAGTTAACACCTATATTTTGCATTCAGACTTTACTTTAAAAATCGTCACTTCTTACACGTATATTAAATATGCTGCTGATTATAAAGCTTATGAAGGCTTATAATACTTTGTGATGTAGACAGAGCTCCAGCTTGGCTCTACAGGAAATATAGACACATCATAGAAACCATTGAAATGAATGACGTTGTGACCAACAGTATCAGAACAGAGACTGGGGATCGAAGCAGGAGGAAGCAACTGGGAGACTTATGGATTTCAGCTGAGTAGCCCCAAAAGTTCTTTGCACCTTCTGATATGGTGCTTGCCCAGGAAAATTCAAATGATGACTTTTACTTATTGAAAAGTGTATTCTCTCTGTACTATTTATCTATTTATTTACCTATCAGTGTATGGTTTTAGAGCATTTTAGAACGTGCTAAATATGAAGAGAGGAACATCTTATCATCAAGCAGTTCAGTTTCTCTTGCAGAAGGAGTGAAAAACAGCTCTCCTGAGATTTCAAAACCAGGGGCTTTCTTAATCTTTTTCACACTTCAGCTCAACTTTCAGCCATGGAGATGAGCAAGAAGGTATGCATGTATTCCTCTGTGTGTTTTCGTTGTGAGTAAGCTCAATGCTATTTCACCCAGATGTTTCTGTACTGTGATATGGGTGGAAAGTTCACAACATTCATTTGGCTTCAAAGATCCACAGCTTAATATGAGCTACCCACCAGCTGGAGTGTTAACCTGCTGTAACGTCTCCTAATCTCTATGGGGAGAAATGTCTTACTATTACATTTTGCTGAATATAGTCCTTCTTGCTCCTTATTACCTGGAAAGTAAACTTCAATTATGCTAAAGAAAAAATCAGTGGAGAAAAAACAGACAGGAAAGAAAGCAGTCCAGGCAAAAGCCTGAAAATGCCTGTCTGGAGTTCAGGGGAAAAGAGGTGGAAATGTCCAATATTGCAATACTGGAATACAGTTGTCTGAGTTTTCCATACTAAAGTTATAAAACAAGGATCTGAATATTTTATAAAAATGATACCAATATCAGAAGTATAACAAAATAGAATTGAAGCAAAAATATTCTCAAAGATCTACAAATAACGACTGAATTCGGCCTTGAGGCTCTTTCTTATTTGACAGATCCCTGGACACTCATCTGGAGAAAAACAGCCTCCTTTCCCCACTGACGTTATAATTCATACTCCATAAGCATGTTTCCTAACTAATTAACTACTTTAACTTACTTAGGTATATTAGTATCTTCATTAGCTTGCTTTTGTTCGCCTTCTCAAGATTCAACCATCTCACATTTCTTTTATTACCTTCATGACTCTCTTCACATTTTCTTTTCTTTCCTAACTAACATTCAGTCATTTAATGGTATTTCATTCAAAAATACTGCTTCCCCCATTCTCTGACCTTCTGCCTTTTGCTCTTCATAGTAGGAATGCACCCTGAAATTTATCACATTCATGTTAATAGAAAAAAAATCCATCGAAACCAGCAGGTCTGGGGCAGGCTTGTTCCTACATCAGGTTGGAAGCACATGTGTAGAGCAGACTTATCATACTAAGGGTAAAATCTTGACTTTTTCTAGCCTTCCTCTGATCCTGAGCAAAGCACTTAAAATCTTGGCACCTTGAGCTCCTGCTGCTCTCATGATACTCGTGAGCTAATGATGGTACTCACCAATTTAAAGGAATTACAGTCTTACAAGGAAAACTGTTACAACTTCTGGACAGAGTTATTCCACGCCAAGATGCTCCTATAGCATGGACCTAGGATACTGTAACTCTTAGTGTCACAGAAGCCTTTTAAAAATTGCAGCATGATGTTACTCTTCAGATTAATGTCATCTCACAGTACCTAGCTGAGTCTCACTTGGTGGCCTTCCAAAACCTCAAAGGCTTCTGAGCAGAGGGAAGGCAGTCTGGTGTTACTGATGGGAGAGGAGAGAGTACGGTGTAGGAAGACTACAAAGGCAAATCTGCTGTTAGTACTTCAGAGGCAAGTTATGCAGCAGTGTCCTGTAGCAAATCAAGGAGATAACGTTTTCCCTATGAATCATTATGGTATAGAAGTGTACCACACCATGGGTTACAGCGCTATGCAGACAACCCTAGGCTAGCCCTGGAGCTCGCAGGAGCTGACCCATGGATCAATCAATTTCCTTTTCAGTCTGCTGGAGCTTCCATGTTCTCCAAGCACCAACTCCTTGTTTTCTCCAGCACATGAAAGAATTCAACACAAAGAGAAAGCCTCTCGTGGATCTTTCAGCATCCGTATGTTCACTACAAGGGAACCTTTGATAATAACATTATCAGAAAGCAGTGAAGGGAAAAAAAGTAGGATTTGACAAGAAAAGGACAGAGTCCTGTTCAAAGGATGCCACTGAAGTCCTGGTATCCATTGCAGTGCTTTTCCAATAGGACGTCTGGTCAGGGGAAAAGTAGGTAAAGTGACTCTCAGCAGGACAGTAAAGTTCTTTTTATATTCTTTCTCTTTTTCCTTCAGAATGGTTTCTTTCTGTAAGAATGCAAAGTAAAGCCAAATGTCTCTAATGTATCATTTCAACAGACTTCCAATCTGTAATGATGACTCCAATTGCCAAAATATTTAAAAGACCTCTGAAAGAGCAGATTTAAAAGCCTTTCTCAGGCCTGAAGAACTAGATTATACTATTGTTGTGGAAATCTTTAGAATAGGATCGTAAAAAAGGCAGGGATGAAATCTTGCCTCTTTTTCTACTAAATAATCCCTTTCAGGAAGCCCATTGCAAGTTGCATTTAAAAATATTTTGGCACCTGCCTGTAGCATTTATCTGATTTTCCTTCAAGTTGTTTCTGTCAGCTGAAATAGTCCTTCCAGTGTCTGAAACTGTGCTAGATTCATTAACCTTTCTGTTAATGCAAAATCAAAGTTTTTGAAGACCTTTCCTCATATCTCAGCTTTTTAATGGATCTATTTGAGGTTTTGTTTTTGTTTTTTAATCTTTCAATCTCAAGCTATATCATGTGGATAATAGCAAATGAAGGTAGTGTTGGGTTGCTGTTTTCCTTTTAGCTGGAAAAAAGAAATATCTTCTATTTGATAAGCCAGTTTTTGAGACCTGTTTGATACACCTCAGAGGAGGAGGGAGAGGGTAATGTCATTCTCTCATTGCCAGACCTAAGCTGTGGGCTCAGATGGTGCACATCTCAGTCATGCCTTGGCTTATGTGCACATCTCAGGCATATCACAGTTATGTGTCAGAAACACACTTTTCTCCTCTTTTCCATTTCTAGTGGAAGAAAATCCAGGCTTCTGGGCTGGAAGCATACTGTACTCCAAGAATCTCCAATTGGCTCCAGTGGTGCACTGTTGAGCTCCATTGACTTCAGTGGTCAGGAGACCTGATTTACTCACCTGACCTACACATTAGACATATGCTACGAAGTCAATGCCAACAGTCAGGGAGATAAAACCAGAAATGCCTCTTCTGCCTCTCTCTGGCATCTGGATGAAGTGCTACAAGGTATGGTTTAGTAGCTTCTTGGGTAGTAATGGTGATAGGAGGACATTTGGACTAGATCTTGTAGGTCTTTTCCAACCTTGTGATACTATGGTTCTATGATTCTATATCTCTGTAGACTCTTAGCTGAGCTTTCTATTCACTGTGCTCTTCACCTTCTTCACCAGTATGAATCCAGCATGGAAAACCCATTTTAATGAAGGTGGAGAAGGTGTAGCTTGAATCTAATGGATATGGGTGATTGGAAGTCATTGAAGATGAGAATGATTGCAGTTAGGTAAGGCTGAAGAAGTTTTCAATTTTGGGATGTTGCTGTTAAAGTCCAGCATTTTTCATCAATGTATTTATGCCAGCCTATGTAGAGGTTGCTTTTTTCTTTTTTTTTTTTCTTTTTTTTTTCTTTTTCTTTTTTTTAAGAGTAATATTCCTTTTATATCTTTAATTTGATTGTCCTAGTACTTTTTCTTTAAAAGTTAATCTGCTACAAAAACAGCAGAAGCACCACTTCTGGCAAAGGATTAAAGAAGATGAAAACAGACTCCACCTTGTTGAAATTGATCCCTTAAAAGAATTTCAAAGGAGTTATCAAAACTTGATAGAAGGCTTTGATTAGGCAGGTCGTGATAGCCAGATAAAACAACCATTATTGTTTCAATGCAGTCATTTAAAAAGTGTAAGAACGGGGAAGCAATTATAAGTTTTACAGTATAAATGCAATTCCTATACAATTACAGCTGTATGAGAATGACATTTTTATTATTATATTTGTTACCCGACGTGTTTGTACAAATATGGGGAGTGGATTGTTGACTAGACATTCCCACCAACACTGCTATAGAGAAGAACAGACAGTTATCATTACAAGAAGTAAAGAGGTAGGTTCCAACCACAATAGGCAATTACAGGATAACAGCACGGTTGAGGTTGTCAGGTACCTCTGAATCCATCTTGCCCAACCCCTGCTCAAGCAGGGACACGCAAGACAGAAGAGCCACGGCCATGCCCAAGTGGCTTCTGGAGATCTCCACAGAGGAAAACCTACAGCCTCTGGGCAGCCTGTGCCAGCGCTCTGTCACTCACACAGCACGGAAGTGCTTTGGTATTCAGGGATACCCCTTGTGTTCCAGTTTGTGCCCACTGCCTCTTTTTCAGGCACTAGGCATCACTGAAAAGAATCTGCCTTCAGATGTTAATATACACTGATGAAATCCCCTCTTAGCCTCCTCATATCTAGCCTCCCAGCCTAGTTTCAGCTTTCTTGGACTTTCTTCACTGTTCAATACTGTTCATCACTTTTGTGGTCCTAATTAGATCATCCAGAGAAGATGATCTTCTAGTTTTGGTTGTAATGAAAGTGGGAGGAGCTAGCTACGAAGATATAGCAGAAGGGCAGCAAGTATGGCAAGAATTGCATTAATTCAGTGTTAGGAAAGGAAGAGGCTTCCTGAGAGCAAGACTCAGCATATTCAGGGTCCATAGATAAGGTCTAATAATGGTAAAGCTCAAGAAAAAGAGAGTTAAAGAGACACAGTGGGTCTTCCAAGAAACTCCTCTGAAGGCACAAGCCAATATGTAGGACAAGTTTGGAAGCCAAAGAGAAGTTGTCAGCATGTTGAGAGGGATCTGCAATACTGGAATAAATTATTTGAATGATGGAGTAGAGAACTATAGGATTAAGCTTGCCAAAGGTGAGCAGCTGAAAGAGACTTCAGGAGTGCTGGAGAACAGAGTTAGGAATCAAAGATATTGTGAAAAATTGGAGAAATCATCAAAATGATAGTCTAAAATTCAAGGGAAGAGTAGAAAGAGTAGAACTAGTTCCTAGTAGAACTACTAGTTCCTAGTAGAACTGGGGTAGCAGCATCTGGCTACAGAACAGAGCTTCGAAATGAAGATTTCCCCAAAATGTTATGATATTGAAGAAGGTAAATTGTATTCTGAGATGTATAAGCAAAATATAATATCATAATCCTGCTACTCTGTTCACCAAGTGGAATACAGTGTCTAGAGCTGAGTACCAGCTTTGTAGAAATGTATAGATAACTGGAGGAAGTTCAAATCAGCAAGAATTTATCAGAGGGCTAGAAACAAATACACATGATGGTAAGATGATTTATTTGGGATTCTTTAACCGAAGAAAGACAAGGCTGAGCATGGAGGTAAGCTAATGATCTTCCAAGTATGTAAAATTTAGTTCCAAAGACTGAGGTAATATCTCCAGTGAATAGGGCAAGAAATGATCAGCCCAAATCACAGCAAGAAAGATTCTGACTAAACAGTGGTATGAACTGGTAGAATTACAAATCATTGGAAAAGATTGCCTGAGTAAACGATGAAATCATGGTCAGTAGTGGTCTTTAAAAACAACTCATAATAGGTATTGATTTCCTCCCTGTGCTTAGACACTGCTTTTCTTACAACTTGATCACAGTTTCGAAGTTGTAACCAAAGAAAGAATGCTTCATTCCTAGCAATATAGTCTTAACATTGGCAGATTAGGTGCAGAAATAAAATAGAAAGTAATGTAGAGAAATATGTGAAAATCAAATGAGGATGAAACACTGAAGAGAGAGGATATGTAACATCACTGAAGCAGGGGGTCCGGTATAAGGAAGAGAGAGATGTATTCTTGTGAGAAAAGGTATAATCAACAGATATTTGTTCACAAATGTGCTCTGCTCAGAGGTACTTGGAAACATGAGCTGAAGTTATAAAATTATGTACTTGTTGGCATTTTCTCAAGAAGAAAATGCTTATCTCCTCAGTTTTGGCCAAAATGTTGCCTGCTGAATATCTTCATCCTGAATACTGTAAATGCTGTAAATCTAATTCCGTGTTGGATGAAGGAAAGCAAATGTAATCTTTTGAAGAATTTCATGCTAGGATTGTCTATTCTCCATTGTGCGATAGATGGCAGAGGCAATGCCTGCTGATGGGCTTGTTTATGAGAGTTCTGATCACATCAATGTCCTCATCAAATTCAAAGGGTGCTTCTGCTCACTGCTTCTTTTGGTCCATCTGGCAACTGGAAGGAACAAGACAGTGGCAGTTTCTTCTGTATCTGTGTCATATGTTGCATGCCACACATCATGAATATCTTAAAAAGTTTAAAATCTTGAATTTGATTTCTAAGCTGGAATTTTCTAACTTTTTAGATTTAATGTATAAAAACCCATCTTCTGATATAACCAAAGAGATACATCCTCTACCTCTTCCTGCCCTGCTTGACATCACTCCAGCAACAGTTGTGCTTATGGGCATACTGCTGAATATACAATTCTAACGTTATTGCATGAACACTGTGAGCAGAAGATGTCTTCCTGGGCAACATGTTTCTGCAGGGAATTACCTTCAGTCCACAGTAACTTCAAAACAATGCCATCCCACACTGGTTATAGAACTACAATTACACAGTTCATGACAGTGAAATATTAATATTACTGATGAAAATGTGTGCAGTTAAAGATTTTAAGGATACATATTTTACCTGTTTCCATATCACTGCTTATTAATATTTAGACATAATCGTGTTCATGTGATTAATCTTTTTTTTATTTGCCATTAGTAAATTCTAGTGAGAAATCTACTGCTAAAGAGCACTGCATTCAGAACTTCATCCAAATCACTCCTTGCTGCGTGTTTGTGTTTTACTTTTGAGTCCTAGATACACATCATCCATAAATAGTGGGGGGATACAAAGTACTTGCAGTTTAAGTCCCTGGTGGCTAGCGCACATTAACTGCTTCTGGTTGGGTTAAAAAACACAGGGAGGTAATGTACAAGACTCAAACTCAATTGCAAAATACTGAAAGCAAACTTTCCTTTTGCAGTTTTTCTTTAAGTGCTGTACAAGACAAAGAAATACAATAGCTGCGAACATTTTCTTTTGGTTATATGGCCAATCTTGGTTAGCTTAGGTTTCATTCCCCTGTGCTTTTTTTTGTTGCTGTTTTTTTTTTTTTGTTTGTTTGTTTGTTTTTTGGTTGGTTTTCAATTTTGAAGACTGATTAAAAGATTGACAGAAAATGGGAATAAGGGAATACACGTTGAACTAAGATAAAACAAAAGATTTATATCGTCTTGTTGTCTTGCTTTTTTTTTTTCTAGCTCTGGTTTTTAACATTTTTTCCTAATGTTCTGATAAGCAAAATGCTACCAGTTTGGGGAGAGACAAACCTTTTCCATTATGAGACAGCAGCTATGACAACCTCTTTTATTGTTGCTTAATGGTGTGTTCAAGAATGTCAACACAGCTTGCAAATATTTCTGGTTTTGCTGTTTCAGGGACATGAAAACAGCAGTCTCAATTGTATTGAAGCATTGTTCAGAACAGCTTAATAATTTGGGAGCATTTCTTGTGCCTGGCCATATGCATAGTGATAAACTGACCAGTGGTCTTTGAAAAGAGAGGTTAAAACTTTAGTATAGTCAAATAAGCTACACTCAATAAAGTAAAGATGCCGTCTAATTGGATATGGAGACTAAATAGTCAAAGAGTAGTTGACTTTTCAGTTCTCATTCACAAAAATCACAGAATAGCTCAGCTCACCATGACCTATGGTTTCCATTTGAAATGACTGTGTATGATCGCCCACTTTGATATGAAGCGGCTCCTGAATGGTTTTTGTGAGTGTGGTGCCAAATCATAAAAATTGCCATAATAAATGACATACTTATCAGCAGTTTTCAGCTGTCAGAGGAAGGAATGTGCTGGACATGGTAGGTGAAATTTGTCTCTGGAAATAGAGTTTAAAAAGATTAGGGAAAGTTATTATCTGTTCTCTCAAACATAGTTCGAAAAAAATGTAATAAGTCATAGGACCATAGGAAAATTCACACTGGAAGGGAACTCGGGAGATCTCTAGCCTGACCTCCTGTTCAAAGCAGGGTCAGCCCTGAGGTCAGACCAGATCATTCAAGGCTTTGAGCAAGCCCAGTCAGGGCTGAAGCCCTCTTAGGATGGACACTGAACCGTCTCAGGGTAATTTCCTCCACTGCCTGACTGCCCTCATGGAGAAGAAGTTCCAGCTCAGTCTGAAGTTCTCTTTCAGGGTACGCCCAGAATCTCTCATCTACCCACCAGGCAAAACTGAGGAAAGCCTGGCTCCCCATCTTCTTATGCCCATCTTAGAAGAACTTGGGACTGCTGTCAGGTCCCCTCAATGATGCCCCATCTCCCGCTGGACCAGCCCAACTCTCCCAGCGCCTTCTCAAGGACAAGTGCTCCTGCCCCAGTCATCTCAGTCACCTTCAACTGAACTCCCTCAGTCTGTCAAAGTCTTTCCTGTGTTGGGGGCCTCAGAACTAGATCTCAGTAACATATCTCAAAATCAGAAAATGATTTCTACGTTCATCTTCTCCACAGTAGAAGAGGAGCACACAAGGTCAACCTCTGAACCCTTCATAATGTAAAACAAGTCGCAGGTTGGATATCATAGGCTTTGTTTCTTGATCTAGGGTAATGGAGTTCAAGTAATTTTCTTCCACATAGATGTTTCTTTTCCAATTCTTACACCACTTCATTCCAGACCTTTGTTATAAAGTCAGTTCAGATTCTGTCTTCCAGTGGTACTGCAAATGTCCACTTTCAATTTTCTTTTCATTAACCCACATTTCTGATCCAAACAGAAGTCTTTATCTGCATCATCTCACCTTGAGAATGGGAGATGGAGCAGTAGCCAAGTAATATTGTTCCCAAACAATGAAAAGAAAGGACTGTGGAAGAGAAATGTCAGCCCTTATTGGGAAATAAATGCCTTACTGTGTATAACAGGTTACTGCTTTTTTTAATTGCACAGAACCACAGTATGGCTGAGGTTGGAAGGGACCTCTGGAGGTCATCTGGTCCAAGTCCTTTGCTCAAGAGTAGCAGGCTCAGGGCAACATCCAGGTGGCTCTCGAAGGCAGATCTCCAAGGAGACTCTATAGCCTCTGGGCAACCTTGCCAGTGCTCAGCCGCCCACACAGCAGAGAAGAGTTTCCTGGTGTTCAGAGGGATCCTCCTGTGTTCCAGCTTGTACCTACTGCTGTTTGTACTGGCATTGGGCACTTCTGAAAAGAGACTGGCTCCATTCCCTTTGCATCCCCCCTTCAGGTATTTACAGACATTGGTAAGATCCCTCCCTGAGCTTCCAAGCTAAAATGTTCCGTCTCTCTTGTCCTTCCTTCATGGGAGAGATGATCATCTTCAAGGCTCTTTATTGGAGTCTCCATTATGATCATGTCTCCCTGGGGGCCTCAGAACTTAATACAGCACTCCAGGTGTGGCCTCATCAGTGCTGAGTAGAGTGAAAGGATCACCTGTCTTGGTGATGCTTTGCCTAATGCAGTCAAGAATGCCATTAGCCTTCTTTACAGAAGCTGGCTTATGCTCAACTTGGTGTCCACCACAATCTCCAGATCCTTTTCTGTCAAGCTGCTTTCCCAGTTGGGTGGCCCTCAGCTTATATTCTTGCATGAGATTGCTCCTCCTGAAGGAATTCAGCAATCCTTGATAGATTTTCCTTTGTTATGTTAAGAAATGGATGTAGGTATTTCCCAATTCCCTTACCTGATTAAAGTGTCTATAGGATTACATAAAAACATAAAAACTGTGCAGTACTAGATTCCAGGGTAGTAGTTAAATATCACTTCAATTACAGTTACATTGTTCCATACTCTTCCAGCAGGACAATTTTCCCTGCAGAACTGCAACCAACAGAAACACAATAAAAAGAATTTACTGTCCCTTATGCACCTTGTCTACCTCTTTTTTTTTTTTTTTTAAGAATAATATAATGCAGAGTGGCACCCACTTTGAACATGTTTTCCCATCACTGTTCTATCAGCTCTGAAAACTGCTTTTGTTTGGATATTGTTATTATCTGCTAGAGACTGATAGGAATGTGGAGTCACTCACTGCAAAAGGGAAACATGGTTCTCATTCAGAAAGAATGCAGTTTCATCCACGCATTTTGCAGCGCAGTTGTATTTGAAGTAGAGCCGCGGGATCTTGTGGCAGTAAAAATCACTGTGATTTATAGGAAAATGTCACTCTGGCTGTCTCCTCTATAAAGGCTTTTTACTACTCTTGTTGAATATAAATCAGAATTATGTGGCCAACAAAATGATGGTTTTGGCAAAATGTTGCGAAGACAAAAAATAAACGAGTTTGAATTGTCTTGGCTTTATTCTACAGAGAGATATTACTGGAATTTATTGCCTTGCCAACATCAATATCCCTGTCCTTAAAAATAGGTGTGTGTAACTGTATGTCTAAATTCATATCCAAGTTAATTTAAAGATGCTCACTGTGAAGCTTACCTTCAAACCACAATTACAGCAGATCTTAACTGCTTGAAATGAAGCTGACACAGTTTCCAAATCTTATTCTGACCACAGCTGTAGCACCACACTTTAAACTCTTTGGTGTTGGGGACTGGTTGTCCCAGTCTCTTAGGGGAATGCGTGCTGGGTCTCAGCATATCTGACTCTTCAGTCACCTAGAAGCTTAAGCAGGAGATGAACCATCCCTCCAATACTATGTATTAGCTTAATTTATAAGGAAAATATGTGAAAATAAATAATCAATTAACTGGTCTAGTATTAGATACAGAGGTTGGCAGCCCTGCCTGTGGCAGGGGGGGTTGGAGCTTGATGATCCTTTAAGTCCCTTCTAACCCAGGCCATTCTATGTTTCTACGATTCTATGATTCAGTTGTCACGGTTCAGTGTTTCTCCCTTTGGACTGAAGCTGCTGGGTGAGGTGGAGGAGAGTAGGGACAGCAAAAAGAAGCTAAGGGAGTTTGGGATTAGTCGCGCTTTGTTTCTTTCAAGGCTGTGGTGTTAGCAAGGGCTTTGAGCCTGTGACATTTTATCCACACATGGCTCATGGGTGTGTAGTCAGTGTGACTCTGGATCTGGTGCTGGACAGGTGTAGGCTATGGGGACTTTGGGATCCAAATAAACTCTCAGCTTTGGCCTGTTCCTGGCTGGAGCAGAAGGGTTCATCGAGACCCAGGGACATCTCTCACTGTTCATTTCTCCCTGAGTCCTGTGAGCATGATGGGTCTCTGTCAAATGAAAGTAGAGCGTCAAAAAGTTCACCTGCATTTGCTTTACCAGCAGTTATGGCACAGTTTAAGTAACATTTGGAGAAACTGTGCTTGCAGCATGTCTGGGCTAGACAGAGGTTGTAACCCACCCTTCTGGCCTTTATGTATTTGTAAGTTCATAGGTCCTGCCATGTACTTAAAAGACCTTTCCTGCTGGTAGCTGAGCGCTCATGCATGTCATCTGTTCACAATTAACTGTACAGCAATTGGAACAGCCAGCACACTCCCGACTGGTGAATTTTTCAGCATATCCAGTTCAGAGTGTTGCCCTGATCGGAGGCACCTGCAGAGATTTACAAACCACAGAAGAGCTTAGCATGCAGAGTGCATACAAAGGAAGCTCCTGTCTCAGGCATCCAAGCCCTTCTTACTTAGAAGTCCACTTCTCAAAGAGGATTTAGCAATATCACAGAGAGGTGCAGAAGGGAAAAATAACCCATCTTTTTCTTTGGTATAAAATAATGATCTAATAAGTGAGATACAAGGAATAGTTCCAGGCTGGACCCAACACTGCTCTAACACTTGGCTTTTTTTTGTTTTGTTTTGTTTTTTGATAAAATATACTCTAGACCAAATTAGTTGGTGCAGGTGTCAGAAGTATCATATAGCCTATATATAACATATAATATTTAGAAGCATGAACATAGGTGGTAATGAGAGCTGATCTTTTTATTTTCCATTCTGTTTGCTATGCATGAAAAATGCTCGTATATCTCTGTAAAGAGTCACTATGGCATTCCCAAAGGATACTGGTCCATTTTGACCATGCTAATGAACATTCAGGGTTAAGTGATACAGATTTCTGACTTCTGAATTGGGAATATATTGTGCGATGTGTGACATTTCTGCTTCAATCTTCCTGTCTGTGCAATGGTGATAACTTTACCTACTTTCTTTCTTCAAGGAAGGGTTGGCAGAATTAAATGATTAATATTTACCGAAGATTTTGATTATTAAAATGGAAAAATGAGACAAGTACAAGTTGCATTTCTTGTCTTATATATACAGTGATGGGTTTTTTCCTTTGCTTCTATTGTCAGAAGACTCCAACGGTCCAGAACATTTGGCCAAAGCAGTTGCAGTTGTAGACTACACCCACATATATCTGAAGCTTTTGGTAATAAGCATGTAGGCTGCAAACCTACAGGAATAAGCATGTACTGGTTCACACAAAACATGAAGATTCAGCAGTTTAAATCGAGCGCTGATTAACTGTGCCTATCTCCCTCAAGCTATTTACTGCAATTAAAAAAAGAGATTAATTTGAATTAGTAATTTTACTCCTTCCTCCATAAAACAACAGGCTTCCACATCTCCTTCTTCTATCATGCCAATGTGTCAAAAATGTCAGTGTGATAATTTTCAGTCACTTCAGTGGGATCATACGTTAAAAGACCACAGTGGGAAAGAAATAGGAATGAAAACGACTTGGAAATTTGAATAATACATAGAGGTTAAAATATTAAAACTGTTCAACTCCTGGAAGTTTACAGTCAGGTAGTGTATTTTTCTAAAACTGCTGTATACACAACTTGTTAGCCAAAATCTCTGGCAGGACAGGAAGCAGGAATATGAAAAGCTAAGATGGAGAACTATTGTAAGAACTTATTCAGTCTTCTCAGAGACAGAGTCATACTTAAATTTCCAGTGCCATATACATGACAGTGAAATTAATGTGAGTACACAAATGTTTAAGTTTTGAAATGTAAATGTTTAAGTAAAGTCAAGCTCTTCAAGTAGAATATTGGATTCAACCAGATTTCATTGGTTTGGAGGACTGTGTGATGTTTAGACTTTGGGAAACTTAATAAATGGTTATTAATTCCTTGATTTGGGAAGAAAACTTTACTCGCAAAGTATAAAAAGCTTGACTATCATGTGAAATTCATCATGTTCTCTGTTGCATAACGGTGTTCGACTTTATGCTTCATCCACGGTAAGAGCCCCAGAAACCCTGTAACTAAAATAATTTTCTAGACTAAGGTTGTTGTTTTTTTGCTTTGTTTTGCTTTTTAGCCAATGAACCCTTATTATATCTATAGTCAGCAAGGCCCCAGATTTTTCCAGTCACTGCTCTGGCCCTGCTTCCTTTGCTGCTGTTTCTGACTGGGCAATTGTAAATCTGTTTTGAGCACACAGTTACATCCCATGTGCTTTAAAGCTTCTTCACGCAGCAGAACCACCTCTAGTGTGATGCTGTGGTCAGATTGCAGAACATCTTTATCTTCTTCTGAGGATGAAAAGACCACAATTTAGTCATTTTCAGAATCTGTGAATTGATTGTTATGTAGAAGAAAGTTATGTTTGAACCAAATGAATGCCCCAAATGGTTTCTTTACTTGCAAAAAAACCCCATAACTTACATGTGCAGATAAAATAATGCAGGTGCCATCACAAGTCTTGGCTTTTTTTTTTTTTTTTTTTTTTTTTTTTACTACTGGAAAATGTTATGGGATTGTGGATCAAAGCACATAAAAGAGCTTAAATTCCCTCCCCTTCCCAGTATCTATAATAAATTGATTCACTTCCAAGACCTACATATATAGATTTTGGTCTAGTCTAGATTTATTAAACCTTAATAGAAACCTTAATAGAGGCTTCAACAATCTATACATTTTAGTGTTTGTTAAGTGGCAGGGGGATTTCTTAATGAAGACTTCTCCATTTACCCTCTTCAGTGAATGCCTTTTCTCTCTATTATCATTCATGCGGTTTCACCTTATGGGGAAAAGCATAGAGGAAGGTTTTCTTGAATGTATTTGAAAGCAGAACAACCAGGGATCATTCCAATTGAAAGAATGCAATTGAAAGAACCCAATGAATTATCTCAGAAAAGAACTCTGTAATTTGCCTGAGGGCAAATAATGTGTAAGGGTGTTGAGTTTGGCCTATATCCCACACTTATGTCTTCTCTTGCACAACAGAACAGATGTGACCATTAAGATTGGTTAAAGGTCTGTGGCTACTCATATCCTTAAGAGCTTTGTGTTTAGGAAAAGGGTAGATGAAATGGTGACAATGTAGGTTGTCAAGATTAACAGTGTTTAATATAGAGATTTCCATTTATTCATGTATTTATTTATACAGGCTTAATAGAATTTGGCTTACTAGACACCAGAAGACACCAGGAACTTCCAGTTATCACTGAGAAGGATAAGGAGACACAAACAGAGAAGAAACCAAGGATTTCTGGATCAGATCCTAAGAGAGAAGAAAATAAATAACTGACATACTCTGGTTCTTTCCAGGTTTGAAATGGCTATTAATTAATAAATAGATTAATTTTTTTTGCTTAAACTTTTGGTGGGTCACATAATCACAGTGTTGTGAGCTGTCCTGGCATTCCGTGCAGGACTGGGTAGCGTACACATACGTTCTGCCATTAAAAATAGCCTTATGAGAAAGAAAATAACCTTTTGGAATCCGAACCAAAAGAAAAATACATGGTTTTTGCCATAAGTTGACATAATTTGGCTGTCTTATTAATCTTCATAAATCAAGTTCTACAAACAGATTAGCAACATGATTCTGCTGGTAAAGGGAGTCTGTAATATACCTGACAAGCATCCGATCTAGACACCTGTGTTTTCAATGCCTTCTTAATTACAAATTCAGTTTTTCATGCCTTCAAATACATGAGCTGTAGCTGGGAGGCATTCTGCCAGCGCTGGGGGCAAACTGTCAGAAGTGACAGCATGACTTCAGCTGTACCTGCAGAAATCCACATATGCAACCACACCTACATCTTTCTTTCACAGTGCAGGTGATGAAATTGAAAAAATGCATAACTTGGCTTGTTCTCAGGCTGGACCTGAATGCAGGAGACTGAATTTTAAAAGATGAAGGCAGGAAGCGCTACCAAACCAGACTCAGGCTTTAGGCGTAGGCTCTGAGATGGCCCACTCATAACTTTGCTTTCTCCAAAGATCCCACAACCATTTCGTAAGGAGCCATTTTCTCAAGGTCTTATGAATATAATTGCCAGAGTTTTGTGCTGTGATGCTGACTCACCCTGGAGGCCAAAACCCCAGAAGCAGGACTGAGGTTGTCCCTAGAATTAGAGAATCAAACATCCTGAGTTGGAAGACAGGCACAAATCTCATCCAGTCCGACACCCCTCTCCAAACAGAATCACAGAATCGTAGGGATTGGAAGGGACCTCCAGAGATCATCGAGTCCAACCCCCTGCCAAAGCAGGTTCCCTACAGCAGGTCGCACAGGTCGGCATCCAGGCAGGTCTTGAACATCTCCAGAGAAGGAGACTCCACCACCTCCCTGGGCAGCCTGTTCCAGTGCTCCGTCACCTCACTGTAAAGAAATTCTTGCGCACATTTGTGCGGAACTTCCTATGCTGCAGTTTCCAGCCGTTTCCCCTTGTCCTGTCTCCATTCACCACTGAAAAGAGTCCGGCCTCGCCATTCTGCCCCCCACACCTTAGATATTTATAGACCTGGATCAGGTCCCCTTTCAGTCTCCTTTCCTCAAGGCGGAACAGACCCAGTTCACTCAGCCTTTCTTCATAGGAGAGATGCTCCAGGCCCCTCACCATCTTTGTGGCCCTCCGCTGGACTCTTTCCTAGAGATCCCTGTCGGGGACACTCAAAGCTCTATTTCTGAGAATGTTGTCAAAATGCTCCATGAGCTCTGGCACCTCGGGATTGTATCACAGCCCCGGGCAGCCCGTTCCATGCCCACCGCCCCCTGGTGCACACCCTGTCCCTGACCCCCACCCCCCTCCCCTGCACAGCTCCATGCCGTTCCCTCAGCCCTGTCGCTGTCACATGCAGCAGAGCTCAGCGCTGCCCTCCACTCCCTATGAGGAGCTGCAGCCGCCATCAGGCCTCCCCTCAGCTCCTCTGCTCTGGGCTGCACAAGCCCAGAGACCTCTGCTGCCCCCCACACACGTTGCCCTCCAGTCCCTTCACCATTTCTGTAGCCCTCCTTTGGATGCTCTCTAATAGTTTTATGTCCTTCTTGTATGGTGGCACCCAAATCTGCACACAGTTCTGGAAGTGAGGCCACAGCAGTGCAGAGCAGAGTGGGACAGTCCCTTTCCTTGACCAGTGAAACACAAAGCAGTTATGTGAACAGAGACAAACATATAACCACTCTTACTGGTCATATCCATTCTGTTATGCAAAAATAGACACAAGGCTGGGATTTAGGCCAAACTCAATCACTTATTACCACAGATGTTTTAATAGCAAACCAGGTGCTGAGAGGTTGGGGAGGACTGCTTATGTTTCCTCTGACCTCATTCACTCTGTACTGCTTAGATTTGGAGACGCAGTACAAGAAATTGTGTGGGGCTTATGCCCTTTTACTCCTCCCCTAAAGGCTTTCAAAAGAAGCAGCCACAACATAAACCAAGGTTAAAATGCCATCCTAGAGATATTTGGCAAAAGTTCTTGGGTTGCTGAGACACTTGTCTTAATTTTACCACCAATTCAAATAGAGCGCTGGGCTGCTTTCTATTTCTATTTAGATTTTAAATCCTCCCTGGATCCTGCTGAAATAATCACTTCCAGAGACAACTTATCGCTAGGTATTACTGAAATACTCCCAAAGAGCACATTTCTTTCTTTCGTATTCTTGGCCTAGGCCAGGTCACAAAAATGGAAGGAATTTTAAACAAAAATTCCCAGAAATTGATACCAAGAATACTCTTCTTTTTGCCCCAAAATCTCTTCTTCCACAGGTTTAGGGTGAACAAGCCAAGTATGGTTTAGCTTCACCCATATATCTGTTCTGTTATCCAGGAATAGAGCATGAGGCAATGTGTTATGTAGGTTAACTGCTACATAAGGGGAGTGCAGGTAAGGGGACAGAAATGAGAAAGCATTTGGTGATGTGGAAGGCTGAATAGACTCCCCAGTTCCTCAGACACCCAGGGTAAAATCAGGTGGATTGTTACTGGGAATTATCTTGTTTAAAATGTTGGCAGTAGGCTTCTACAATATTTTATTATATCTAATAAATTTTCCACCTGCTACATTTCTAAAGACTTTCCGGTAACTAGTTCCATCCTACTGTCTCCTCCACATCGATTCCAAGGCCAGGGAGCCTCTATGAATTTAAGCACTTCTCCATAGCTGCCTCTCCCAGAGGCTCCTGCCAGCCCTGACCATCCCTCAGAGCCTTCCTCCAGGGCAGAACCCCAGGGATGGTTGGTAACAGCTCCACCACTCATCCTACTCCAGCTCTAAATCCCTGGACCCATAGGTAGGAGCAATCTGTTTCCTCCCCCAGCCCTGTCAAGCACCTGGCTTGTGGCTTGGAATTTTTGCACTGAGCACTTAACCAGAATCTGGAATCATGTATTAAATATTTGTGATACACAGGGAATGAATAAAGAGTAGGTGAGGAAAGATTGTTAACTAACCTCCCTCTCGACCACTGGAAAGAAAGTGGCAAGAGTGAGCGAATGATTTTCCTAGACCAGTACCAAAAGCCAGAGTGTTTGAAGTGAACTGGTGGCAAAGGGCTCATTATGAATGTGAGATAAACTTTAATAAACGAAACATGGAAGATTCTAGCTCTTTAATTTTAGAGTTCAGTCCTGCAGGAATGCTTAGGATTTTATCTTCTTCAGTATTTTAGCAGGATAGACTGTATTTGTAATCAATGGTGGTTTGTGTTCCTTGTAAAGTAGAAGGTGCTTAATTTGTTGAGAAAATTTGTTCTCAGAAAAATGGCTATGTGGTTTTATTAAAAAAAAAAAAAAGGAATATTTTTCTTTGCTTATAGTAAATCACACTCAGTAGAGGCAGTTGACATTTCCTCTTTTCCTACCATGTTCTTGAGGTTCCAAGTTTTGACAATATCAGACAGCAGGAAAATGTGCCCAACTCTACTGTTTGAGACACTGGCTGGTAAATTCTCCCTACCTGGAGAAATCAAGGACTCAGTTCCCAGTTCTGGTCTTTGCCACTCTCTTCTAGAGCTCTGTAGAAAGCAGTGAGGCCCTCCACAATTGCAGAGGTTAATCACTTCTGATCTAGATCTCAGGCTTGCATTTCAGACAGTCTGTTTAGAAGGCCAACATAAATGCTCCCAAGAGACTAAAAGTAGCAATGCACTTTTTCTATTCCAAATAGTAGAAAAGGAGCTGCTAAATATTTTTAAGAAATTTAACATTAAAATGACCACTTTTGTGATTATTCTGTGGCATTCTTGCTCTTCCCCAATAAGTAAACTAAGATTTAATATGGATAAAAAAGATTTTACTAGAAAGTGAGTATGAACGGGAAAGTTTAAACCATTTACTGAAGGAAACTTGAACTTCCTATGAAATGGAAACAATTTGAAAGCAGAACATTAAGATCATTCATTGATTATATTCATTGGCCTTAAACATTTTTATTTATGGACAGTTAGAAAAGATGGGAGAGGTGCTAGACATAACCCAGCCACAGTATATAAATTTCCATTATTGATGCTTAAATCCAAGTTATTTTAAAGAGGAGTGCCGCCTTCAGCCCACCTCCTGCTTTTAATAAAAATAGCATTTTCATAGAAAAAGTAATAATGGCTTCCCCTCATTCCTCCAGATTTTGCATTTTGCTATAGACTTCAGTATTGGAGTAGGCACAAGGTACAAGGTGCAACTTCCTAATGATTACTTTCATTCCCAGCCATGGCCGTAAAATCCAACTCTTTTTATATATGTGTATATATATGTGTGTGAAGTTTACCATATACCTTTCAACAGTTAGGAGAAAATTCCATGTATTATGGGACAGAGATACACGACATGCACCATGTATGTGATCCAGACATGTGAAAGTCAGTGGAAAGACTGATGTTCCTCAGGGGAGAGAGCGGGTCAGGCTCCATAGGACTGAAGAAATAAGTTCAGCGTTTCTTCAGCACTAGATGTCATAAATAAAGAAAATATGGTCTGCTGTTTTTCTTCAGGAAAATTTCACTTCTTTTTTTGACATCCATCACAAAGCCTCTGAGTGCTTTGTAGGTACTGTGAAAGATGAAGTGTTTCTGGGGTGGGTGAGACAAGTCTTACTGACTATGATGGTGTACATATTGTTTGTCTAACATGTTGAACTGGCTGCAAATGTACAGAGAAAAACGATCCCTCAGGTGATTTCAAAAGGTCCTTCCAACTTCAACTACTGCGCATTTCTGTGTTCTATGGCTCTTGACAAAACTGAAAAATTCTGCACTGTACCAATGGGCAGCAGCTC